AGACAAGGGGGCGAACCACTGAGTGTGAGGAAACGAGCGAACGAGACCATCGAGGTAAAAGCTAAGATATTTTGATGGGGTCGGAATTGGGTCGGAAGCTTTCCCATCTCGAACATGTCCTGAGCTTCCAAAAAATAAATATAGCAGGCAAAACGCATGAGAGTGTAGATAGAGTATGTACGTGTACGTGGGGTATCCCCAGTAAAAACTATGTAAAGCTTTTCATTCAGTCACTCATTCTTTCATTCGCGCGTCCATTTCATTCGTTTATCCGCCTCTTCATCATCCTTTCGTTCGTCGTTCGTTCAGAATCATAGAGCGAAATCCGACCCCGCCCCCCATAACACGCACACGACAGACACCCCCACTCATACATGCATCCCCGCAAACTGCGCACTCGGGCTGCCGGGCCCCCTCGCCCCCGGCCCTGCGGTCTTCTTCGGCAGCACCCACGACGGCGTGCTCTCCGCATGCACCCCAGGGCTCCCGCCCCCACTCGCAGCCGCGATCGGGCTCGACGGCGCCGCGCCCGGGTCCGTCAGCGAGTACCCATGCCTCGGCTGCTGCTGCTGAATCCCCAATGCCGACCCCGCGCCCGGGTCCTGCAGCGCGTAGCCCTGGTACTGCGTCTGCGCGGGCTGCGGCCCCAGCGCGTGCGCGAGCTCGCCCTGGCTCGCGGGTGGGTGGTACTCCTGCTGCTGCTGCTGGGGGTATTCCTGCGCAGCGTACTCCTGCACGGGCTGGTTCGCGTACGGGTCGGGGAAGTACCCCGGATCGTCGTCCAGCGGGCTCGTCGGGCTCACGCTCTCCCGCTGCTGCTGCTGCTGGATGGGCTGTGGCTGCTGCTGCTGGGCGGGTTGCTGCTGCTGCTGCTGGGCAGGTTGTTGGGCGGCGGGTGCGGGCGCAGGGGTGGGCGCGGCGTCGGTGATGCCGGGGATACTGACAAAGTACACGCTCCCCGCGAGGTCCTTCCCGCCCGCAGCGTAGTACTGCGCCCACGCCTGCACGTTCGGGTCCGCGTACGTCGTGTGCGGGTCGTAGATGTACGGCGGGCCCGCCTGCTGCGCTTGGGCTTGAGCTTGGGGCTGCGGCTCGGGCTGCGCCTGGGACTGGGGCTGCGCTTGTGCTGGCTGCGGCTGCTGGACCTGCTGCGCGGGCTGCTGCTGCGCCTGAGGCTGAGGCTGAGCCTGTTGCTGCGGCTGCTGCTGCTGGGTGGGATACGGCGTCGGGGTCTGCGATTGGGGTTGGGGCTGCTGTTGTTGCTGGGCGGGGTACGGCGTCGGGCCCTGGGCTTGCTGAGGCTGCTGTTGAGCAGGATACGGCGTCGGTCCCTGCGCCTGGGGCTGCTGCTGAGCGGGGTACGGCGTAGGCCCCTGCTGCTGCTGCGCGGGATACGGCGTCGGCCCTTGCGGCCCATACGCCCCGTACCCCGGCTGACCCTGCTGCTGCCCCTGCTGCTGCTGTTGGGCATACTGATACGCCGCCGCATCAGGATACCCGCCGTACGGCTGCTGCTGCTGGCCGGGTGCGCCGTACTGCTGCTGCTGGCCGGGATACGGCGTCGGCCCCTGCTGCGGGTAGTACGCGGCGCCCGAGTGCCGCGCGAGACTCTCCTCCATCATCCGGTCAAAGATTGTGCGTGCCCGGACGAAGGTTTCGTTCATCGACACGAGGTCCGCTAAAAAAAAAGGGTGAGTAGGTATTGGCGGAAGCGGAGGAAGGTAGACGATGGGAGGAAAAGGACGGAAGTAGACGATGGAAGAAGACGGAAGGGAGGGATGGAGGAGACGGATGAAAAGAAAGGGTGCGACACATGCAGGTAGAAATGTACCACGTGCATGAAGGACACGAAAAGGGAATCGCATCAAACGAATCGCAAAGTCGGAATCGGGAGCAAGGAAAGTGGGAAGGGAGGGAATGAAATGGAAGGAAAGCGGAAGGGGAGGGAAAGGGAAGGGAAGGGAAAGTAAGAAATAATCACGTACCCCGCTTCTGGCTGTACTTGTCGATGAGCTTGACGATCTTAGGCCTTAGCGCCATACTCGCGCGGTAGAGCTCCTATAGGACGCATCAGTCTCGTTCGCGTGGCAGCAAGAAAACGAAACCCACCTGAATCTCTTCATCATCCGCCAAATTATCCCCCTTACTCGGATCCAGCGCCCTCAGCATATTAAGCAGTCTTTCCACATCCACCGCCTGCGCAAACACCGCCGCCTCTGCCGCCGCCTCCGCCGCGAGTTCCGCCGGCGTCGGCTCTGGCAGCGGCTCCACATAGTTCACCGGGAAGATACCCGTCCGCCCGCGCAGCTGCCCGCGCCACCAGTCGCGGTACCCCCGATCAACCACCTTGATCACGTCCCCCTTCTCGAACCCGAGCTCGCCGGCCTCGGTGGGCACGAACGGGTGCAGCGCGCGCACGCGCGTGACGATCGCGCTGCTGGCGGGCGCGGGGGCGTTGTCGGCGGGCGCGGGGCTGGGGGTGCGCTCGCGCTGCGTCGTGGCGGGGACGTACCCCCCGGCGTATCCGCCGCCGGCACCACTGCTGCCACTTGCGCTGGCACCGGTACTGGCGCCGTAGGCCGGGGCGCCGCCACCGCTGCTACTGCCGCCCGCGCCGTACGCCGGGGTGCTCGCGCTCCCTGCGCCCGCACCGCTGGCGCCACTCCCGCTGTAGGCGTCGTACCCGCCGGCGCCCCCCCGTCCGCCGCGGTCGCGCACGCTCATCTCGAGCACACGCTGCAGCTCCTCCTCCTCCGCGCGGCGCACGGCGTCGTCGACCGCGGGCGGCGGGGGCGTGTCGGGTTGGGTATATTTGTAGTCTGTGAAATGATGTAGGTGAGCGTCGGCGTGAAAAGAATAAAAATAAAAATAGAAGGGATAAGATAAACAGGGGGGAGAGAGGGAACGTATGGGGAGACAGGGCCGCTGTTGGAGGGTACCAAGGGGAGGGAGGAAGGCGAGGAGGGGGGAGAAGAAAGAAAGAGAGAAACGCACTCTTCGCCTTGAGGCTGTCGTAGCACTCCTGCATAATGCCGAGCGTGCTGTCGTCGGCGAACTCGGATGTCCAGAGCGCGACGAGCCCGAGCGCCCGCGTGCGCACCTTTTCGTGGGTGTTCTGTGGAGATGTTAGCGGTTGGGTGTGAGGATGCGATACGAGAAGGATGGGAGTGGGGCTGGAAATCGGGCCATGGCTGTGAGCCGAATCCTATGTCGATAGACCGATAGACGGCTGCCAATGCCTCCTCCCCTCAGCTCGGAACCCAAGACGCAGGAGGGCTCAAAGTGCGCAGCATGTGGCGCATTCGAGAAGTCATTCGGGCAGCACCCATAGCATAGCAGCCCAAGTCGACAGCCAACTTACCCGGTCTGTGATGACGCGCTCGAGACCTGCGGTCCACGCGCGCGAGGCAAGTTCGCGGTGGAGCTCGATGGAGCAGTTCTTGGAGAGTGCCTCAGCCAGCGAAAGTGCGTATAGCTGGACATTAGGGTTCCGGTGCGTAAGGCGCTTCAGCAGCGCGGCGACGACGTTGTGCGCGCCCTCGGGGCCCTCGTCCTGGACCTTGTCGCAGAGATTGAGGATCAGCTCCCAATTCTCGCTCGTCAAATGCTCGTCCGTCGTCTTAACTGTTGTGGCGAATAAATAAAGAAGCAGGGCAGTCAAAGCGGGGGGACGCACCGACGATCTCGTCGTATGGGTTGATGGAGGCGCCGCCGAACATGGTGGGCGAAGGAAAGAGAGATTGGAGTATAGCCGCTGCTCACTGCGGCGGGCTGTGAGCAATGCAATGGGTCACAGCGTCACACATCATCGTCACATCTAATCCATCCATCTCCCGCCATGGCCAAGGGTGCGTCCCCTGCTAGTGCTGCACTGTACGTATCGGACGCTGACCGCGCCCCCGCCGCCCAGTCCCCCGCAATTTCCGGCTGCTCGAGGAGCTCGAGAAGGGTGAGAAGGGCATCGGCGACGGCTCTTGCTCCTATGGGCTCGAGGACTCGGACGATATCATGATGAGCAACTGGAACGGCACCATCATCGGGCCCGGGCATGTGCGTGCCATCTCTGTCTACACTCGTTCACTCTCCGTTAATTGCGCGCACGATCCAGACGGTGCACGAGAACCGCATCTACTCGCTCAAAATCACCTGCTCCGAGTCGTACCCCGACTCGCCACCTATAGTCCAGGTGCGACTTCTGCTCATATTGCAAGCCAGTCCTAACTGCTTCCTTTATTCGATTCAATTAAACGCCACAGTTCCTCTCGCGCGTAAACCTCCCCTTCGTCTCCGCCAACGGCACCGTCGACCCTGCGCGCCTCGGTGTCCTCGCCACATGGTCCCGCGCGAGCAGCCTCGAGCACGTCCTCGTCGAGATACGCAAGTGCGTGTCTCTCTTTGTTATTCTTCCATGCCTTCCTTGCCTGCATGGTTTTATTTAATCCCTTACATGCTTTCATGTTTGCCCTTGTCCTTTCACCCGTTCCTCATCCGTGCCCTCCTTTCCTCTCACCCATTCACATATCTCTGCCCCCTGCTACAGCTGAGTCATTAGACGCCCACTCCGCTTCTTCCTTGTTCCATATATTTCCATCCGCTTCCATCTTCTACTTCCTTCTACTTCCTTCTCCCCCACAACGACTAACCACCAATACCCTCGCAGAGAAATGGCCTCCCCGACGAACCGCAAGCTCCCCCAGCCGCCCGAGGGCAGCATGTTCTAGGCGTGCTGCCTCCACGTTACCACGCGCCTCCGTTGGATGGAGCGATGATGGCGGCTATTGGGCAGAATGAGGACGATGGCGACGAGTTGTAGTACGATTACGCTGTGTAGACAGTTTCTTTCATCAAAGTGTACGATATGCATATATACCGAGTACAACGCGGAACTCTGCTCAACTCCACTCGCGATTATGCACAAGGCGTATGAGGCCAAGATGGGATAAGAACCCGCACACTAATTGAAAGGCACGAAAGAAAAAAAGGAAACGATTCCAACCAAATGCCCTCGGTGGGAGTCGAACCCACATGACCTTCGCAACGTCCTTGCATCACCATTTATTCGGTGAAGGCGATCTACCAGTGATCTACGAAAGCCTCCCTAGCATCATGCTACCTAGACTAAGTATAGGAACAGGAGGACGAGTGAATAGATAAAGAAAAAGAAAGATAGCAGTGACACCTGTATGAACCATCTTCCATGAATGAAAAGTTCTCGATGTACTAGGGACGCACTTGAGTCGCTCTTTTGTTCAGAAGAACAAGCGAACGGTGAATAAAAAGAAAAAAGGAAACGCGACGACGCTCATGCCCTCGGCGGGAATCGAACCCCCACTACCTTCATAATATAGACAGTTCGGCTGTGATTTCATTCAAAGAAGGTGATCTACCATTGATCCACAAGGGCTGCCCCTAGTAACAAGCTATCCAGATTAAGTATGGAAACAGGAATAGAACAAAATTAAGGTGAATAAAAATAAAGAGGAAAAAAGCAGGCAAGAACTAGGTGGAAGTTGAAGTAAAAGCTGGTTGTATAAATGCAACAAGAAAGAATGAGAGGGTGAGACTAAAGACTCACACCTACCCTGCAAAGCAGTGGCCTCAAGCCTGAGTGCAAAAATAAATGTAGGTGTATTCAAAAGTTAGAACAATGGGGTGCCTACTACCTAACTGTACAGACCATCCCAGACAGCTATCACATCGGAAGAGAGGGTATATATCCAGCTCCCTGGGCCAAGGTTGCAAGAAAAGGAAAACTGAAAACTTGATTGCAAACATAAAAACCGTTTTTTTTTCTGAATAACTATGAATCACAAACAAAATTAACAGTCGAGTGTGGAGCCAAGCATAAGAAGTTGATGGGGATTCTTTCGTGACTCTCAGACTGTATCTTTCACCATGGACAGCACATCCAATGATGTGGTAGGTGTGTCCAGTTTGCCCAGAAGTGCAAGGGTTTCCTGGTGTGTGTTCTCAACCAAGGCAAGCCTGGTGTCAATTTGGACCATGTCCGTTGCCTGTGATGACCGTTCAAACAGTGGACGGGCCTCTTTCCACAGTTTCACTGCATGTACTAAATCTCCTCTGTGCTTTACAATGTCTCCGAGACGAAGCATGCAGTCACCTCGACTGCTGTGAACATCCATTTGTGTAAATCCTTCCAATGCTAGTGTAAAAAGGCTGAATGCTGTGTCTTCGTCATTCAGGTGGAGAAAAACATCTCCTAGACAGCGGAGAGCCTCATGAGTCTGCAGCTTCTTGTGTAGTTTTAATGCATGCACAAGAAATATTACAGTCCACTGTGAGGTCTGAGAAATACTGCTGGGCTCCCAGTGCCTTGAATCACTAAGTCTATACAGGGCACGATCCACAATCTCATATGCATAGTCCTTCCCCCAAGACCAATTGAGACATTTTTGGAGCAAAGCCTTGGCATCTACAAAGTTTCTCTGTGCAAGATATAGTTCTGCATGCAATTCATCACACTGTGTCTGCATAGAGGTGTTTCCAATAGCACTGAACATAGCATGGATGGTGTCAATATCCTGTTTCACCTGAGCATCTGGACTTAACAGGACATCAATGCTTGCTATGTTGAAGAGTGAAAAGACATAGGTGTATTGAGACTGATCAACATATTGAATGATGTGAGTGTGCATAGTGCGAGCTTCAGTATATTCTGATTTAGCATTATGGATTTCTGCCTCGGTGCTCAGGAGAATCACATCCACAATGCTGTGAGACAGGCCACAAAGAAGGAGAAGTTCCCTTCCTCTGTGGCAAAGGCTCAAGCCATCCTGGTATAGACCAAGATCCATACAGACTACAGCCTCCACTCGCAGTGCTCTAGCCTCGTCTAACAAGTTGCCAGAGATCTTGGCAAGTTTATGAGATTCATGAGCAAATGCTAGAGCAGCAGAATAGTGACAGGCACCCCGCTCAATCCAACTCAATTGGATCAATGCATAACACTGTTCATGTGGTTTTCCACTCATTTGTGATAATGTGATTGCTCTTTCAAAGAACATTTTAGCCCTGAGAGGCTCTTTGTCATGTTCCAAAATATAGTATCCAACTCCATTGTAGAATTGAGCTATACACCACTGTCAGCATATTGCTTTCCAAATCAATGATTAAATTTACCTTCAGCAGCAGGATCACTGAAATTGAGAAACTGTTCCTGAGCTTGAACTATCATATTTTCCGAGTTTCCAGTCAGGAATGTCATATCAGAAGGCCAGGCATTGAATGTCAGTGTGATGAAGTGGGTCCACAATTGGGGATCTTGTACTTTTGCCAAAGCATCAGGGATATGGTCCATCAAACCAGAACGACCATGCCCACTAAACCGCCTAAAGTTATGAAGATACAGTGTGCATTCAATGATATCTTTCAAGTCTGTGCTGTCTGAATGGAGTCCAGAGAGAAGGATATTTTGAATGTTCCCTAGATTTGAAGTCACGCGTGCTACCACCTTCGCACTTGGTTGTGATCCAATGTAGTCTGTGTAGAACTTTAAGAACAAGTGAAAATGCCTGCGTAGAGGATGAATGAGCTGCAAGGAAGGAGGGTGGACTTGAGACACATGTTCCCGGATCAGACTCAATGTCTTCAGGTGTCCATCATAATCAATATATCCCAGTGCAGTTCGAAGCAGAGTTGCCTTGCAGGTCATGATATCTGGTATAGGGAGACCACTTTGAACAAGGTCACTGTCTGAAAGACCATCTGGCAGGATTGAGAGGAGGCTCAATAGATCCATTGCTCCTGGAGAAGATGTCATTCTAGAGCCCAATAGTGACACTGCAATTGAAATATTAAGGTTGGACTTTCTGTCAAAACCATCTGAGAGGAGTGAGGTTTTTTCAATCTCCCATCGGGACAGTACTGTCGGACAGCCTTCATAGTCAACCAAATGAGCAATAAGATCTACTGCTAGAGGGACATTATCTGTGAAGAGGAGCAATTTTTTGATGTCACTGGGATCATGAAAACCATCTGCAATGTCAGTGAAAATCTTGTGTGCAGCCTCATTAGACAATGGCTTCAGAGGTGGCAGGAATGGGTGAGTCCACTGTACTTTGGCAGGTCTCTCTGCTCCACGCATTGTAATCTATGCATTTATCAGTATGTTGAGTTCAAGTTTGTGGAGCAAGGAATGAGCTCACCAGCAATGACAAATGTTGAACATCAGTGAGACACAACAGAAATTCTTCAACATCTTTGCGAGAATCAGGAGCTTCCCAACTTGTCTCCAGGTTATCCAAAATCAACAGACTAGGTGGACTGTTGGAAAAGTAATCCACTATTGTCTTTGTTGCTTTTTTCCCTGGCTTTAGCCCCAGATGGGATGCAACAAGACTAGCAAGATCCGTGCCAGTGGTGACCGAGTCAGTTGGAATAAAGACCGTATTCTGGTATTTGGCTGTAACCTCTGGGTGGTGCAGTGCAGCCCTAGCCAGACTTGTTTTTCCCATTCCACCTGCTCCTAGAATGGCTATCTTAGCAGAACCCAGAGCAAGAGCTTTGACAATCTGTTCAAGTTCTGATTCACGCCCATGGAATATCTTTGGCTTTCCAGGCAACAAAGAAAATGAGTTTAAGCTTGAAAACAATCAGGGCAATCCAGTCTTGCAAGGAATGCAAATCTGTACCTGCTTCGTGAATCAGAAAGACTTCCAGTGATCTTATAATAAGGATCAGCTTCGCAATCATGAGAAACACAGAGACTTCATACACTAGACAGCCTGTCGGAATTTGCTCCATCCGAAAGTGTTGAAATTAATTTGAGTAGTGCAGTGTGGGTTTCCTCTGAGCTTTTCTGCATGTCCTCAATATCAACCAAGAGACTAGCACCAGTTTGGATCTATGACAATGGATAAATGGGTGTTTTGACAAAAAATGTAACAAACCTTGAACACATCAATGGCCTGTTGCAAGCCCAAGTTGCAATCCTTCAGCAGGGAGTTTGTTTCACTCTGACGTAAGAATTGCTTGATTTTATTTCCCTCTTGTTGGGATTCAACAAATGCATGAATTTTTTGGAGAGTTCTGTCAATAGGCAAAGGCGAGAAAGAATCAATGAATTATAGAATCCCCCGGATGAGGCAGACAAACTCTGTAAATTTCCCGATATGCTCCAGTGTGGTGGGTGCGAGCACACCTCCAGTATCCGAGGTAATATGAAGGCTGATGATAGCATACAGGACGCCGTGAACATGCTCCAGGAGTTGCACACATTCAGCTTTTTTGTTCTTGACATTCTATTAATATTTCGTTAGATTCAGGTCTCCGAAAATTTCAGACTTCTCACCTCTATCCCATTCAGAAGTGATAGAGTGGTATTTGAGATGGCGGTTAAGAACGGAGTCCCAATTGCACTTTCGAGGCCAACAAGAGTGGAGACAGCAAGCCTGAGGTACGCGATGAGGTTGTTCAAGCGAATCTGGGTGACATTGGTTTGTGGGGCCATTTTGGTTAAATGTTGCTAGCTGAGATTCAGCCTCAGGCGCTTTATATACCCCCGACAGCGCTGGCATCAGCCGTGGTTCGCATGGGATAACCTTGGAAACACGGTGTTCGGAGACTGGACCATGCCGTGTATAATATTATCACTATCACTATCACTATCACATTTTCGATCAAAAAGAAAAATCGGGTGCGAGCAGACTCCACTCGTACATGTTCAGATGCTGAAAGGGCGCGCGATAAGACGAGTAGGAATCGCCACGTTTGCAGGGAAAGAAAGCGATCACCGTCAGCGGTTCCGGCGCAAATCAATCCATAATTGGCGTAAAATAGCTATTCGTAGAGTGTCATCCAGGCGAGTCTGACACAACGATTACGACATCGGGACGACTCGACCGGTCGTTCCGCGAGATAATAAGCTGTCTCGCTTCAAAAGTGGACGATCGTTGAAGCTGGATTTTTTGAACGGAAAGATCGGGTGCGGGCAGAGTACGCTCGTAAAATGTTCCGATGCTGCAAGGGCGCGCGATGAGATGGTAGGAATCGGCACTAGTACTGACGGACATCAGCCTAAACGTTTGCAGAGAAAATAATTGATCACCGTTCTCCTCTTGGGCAGTTTCCGGGCAATCGCTCCATTATTGGCGCAAAGTGGCTATTTGTAGAGTACTGTATCAATCAGGCGCGTTTAGGAACAAGACACAATGACTCCGACGAACAGACCGCCCGACGAGAGGTAAGAAGGTATTTGTGGATCGTTTAAGCTGGATTTGGAGCATGTCGTGAAGGAATATACTAAGTGGGAGTGGGACTCGCCTTTTTTAAGCGAATCCCACTAATGATGAGCCCGCCGCTGGAGGCCATCAATCATTGATCAATCCATCACCAGCCGGCTCACCGGCATTTATGCTGGGGGAAGGTTCCCCCAGACCCTCCCTT